ACCACATCTGTGGGAAAATATGATGGAGAAACTCAGTATCATCATCCAAAGTAAGACCATGGGTAGACTGTGGAACAACTATCAACTTCTCATATGCAAGTTCATGTGGAAGCTAAAGAAAATTAAAACAAGTCTATGATGTGGCATTGTGGGTTAATGTACTGGACTGCAAAGTATTTTTGATCCTAAAGGTTGACGGTTCAAGCTCACTAGCCACTCCTCAGAAACCCTATACAGGGTCTCTATGGGTCGGAACCTACTAGACGGCGTTTAACAATAATAACAACAACATGTGAGCCAAAATATGACCTTGAGTATAAATCACCTGAATCTAGAGACCATTTCAAGAACAGATTTGTTGTATTAAACACTAATGACCAAAACCCAAGAAGAGTTGTGGATGACATGAAGAATATCGTACAAGAAAACAGCAAAAGGTCATAAAAAAGGTAAGAAAGAAAAGGCCAAAATAGATGTCAGAAAAGATTCTGAAACTTGGCTCTTGCATGTTGAGAAGCTGAAGTGACTGGAAGAAATAATGAAATAAAAGAGCTGAATACAACATTTCAAAGAGCAGTTTGAGAAAACAGTCAAATATCATAATGAAATGTGAAAAGACATGGAATTAGAAAACCAAAGGGAAGAAACACATTCAACATTTCTCAGGCTGAAAGAATTGAAGAAAAAATTCAAGTCTCAACATGTAGGATTCTGTGGACAACGTATTGAATGATGCAGGAAGCATCAATGGAAGATGAAAGAATGTACAGGGTCTATAACAAAAATAATTGGTTGATGTTCAGCTGTTTCAAGAGGTAGCATATGATAAAGAACTGATGGTATTGAAGGAAGAAGTCCAAGCTGCATTGAAGGAAGTCAGCACTGAAGGAGGTGAAAAATAAGCCTTCATGAACTGATGGATACAGATTGAAATAGAGACACTCATCTGTGCCAGGAAATTTGGAAGACAGCTTCTTGACCAGCTGATTGGGAGAGATTCATATCTGTGCCCATTTCAAAGAAAGCTTACTCAGTGGAATATAGGGACCATTGAACAATATCACTACTAATATATGCAAGCAAAATTTTGCTGAAGATAATTTAAAAATGATTGCAGGAGTACATCAACATGTAACATTAAAAAATACAAGTCAGATTTATAAGAGAACAAGGGATATCATTGCTGTTGTCA